TTCACGAAACATCCCACGAGACACCTCACGAAACATTCCACGAGACACCTCACGAAACATTCCACGAGACACCCCGCGAAACATTCCACGAGACACCCCACGAAACATTCCACGACGACAGGCAACCACTCAACCAAGGCGGTGTGGTCGTGCTGGGGAGTGGTCGTGCTGGGGTGTGGTCGTGCTGGGGGGTGGTCGTGCTGGGGGGTGGTCGTGCTGGGGGGGTGGTCGTGCTGGGGGGTCGTGCTGGGGCGTGGTCGTGCTGGGGCGTGGTCGTGCTGGGGCGTGGTCGTGCTGGGGTGTGGTCGTGCTGTGGTGAGGTCGTGCTGGGGTGTGGTCGTGCTGGGGTGTGGTCTTGCTGGGGTGGGGTCGTGCTGGGGTGGGGTCTGCTGGGGTGTGGTCGTGCTGGGGTGTGGTCGTGCTGGGGTGGGGTCGTGCTTGGGTGGGGTCGTGCTGGGGTGTGGTCGTTCTGGGGTGTGGTCGTGCTGGGGTGTGGTCGTGCTAGGGTGGGGTCGTGCTGGGGTGGGGTCGTGCTGGGGTGTGGTCGTGCTGGGGTGTGGTCGTGCTGGGGTGTGGTCGTGCTGGGGCGTGGTCGTGCTGGGGTGGGGTCGTGCTGGGGTGGGGTCGTGCTGGGGTGTGGTCGTGCTGGGGTGGTCCGCACCCTGTGATTTATCGATCGGGTCGTGCTGGGGTGTGGTCGTGCTGGTGCTGGGGTGTGGTCGTGCTGGGGTGTGGTCGTGCTGGGGTGTGGTCGTGCTGGGGTGTGGTCGTGCTGGGGTGTGGTCGTGCTGGGGCGTGGTCGTGCTGGGCGTGGTCGTGCTGGGGTGTGGTCATGCTGGGGGTGTGGTCGTGCTGAGGTGTCCCGCACCCTGTGATTTATCGATCGGGATTTCAAAAACAAGCGTTTCGCCTGAGACATCCTCAAATTTTAATCCGCCGGCCTCCTTCGACCTCGATATTTATCAGGGAAAGAATCCGCCGGCCTCCTTCAAGTTGGGCACCGGAGACATTGTTTACATAGGAAAAGAGAACCCTGGGCCTATGCCCTTTCCGGGAAAAAGTTGTCTGTGGATCCCGTTATTTATCGAGGATTCGAAATGCGGGGTGCACTCTCCTCGAGAGGGCACGCGCCAAACGCATTCTCTCAACAAGCAAATCTAACTCCAATGCGTTATGTAGCGCAGGTCGTGTCGCCAGCCCACCCCTCAAGCAAGACCCGAGGGGGTAAACAGCTCAACGAGAACCCTGGGCCAAAGCCCTTTCAGGAAAACGGAGGCCCTGTGCCCAGGAATCCGGATCTTCTGTTAGGTGGATCATCTGTTAGGTCGGGCGTGTCCCCCCACAGGCGGATTTTGGAGGAAAGATTTCAAATATGCAACAAATACTCCCAAATATAATCAAAAATGGTCAAACAATCATCCATCGACTATTTTTGTTACTATGTTTGAATATTCCTCCTGTAGAGAGACACGCCCGACTTAACTCATCTGGGCTTCGCTGAAACCACGGGCTCCTGGTGCGAAGATGGTCTGCCTGGCCCCCCCCCCCCCGGGCTTCCCGCGTGGCCCCCCGCGTCCTGGCGGGCCAGGGCGCGACGGCCACGAGGCTCTCGACTCCCGCGAGCCGAAGCCGTGTGCTTCTACAGAGGACCCCATGGCCTCAGGAGGAGCCCGGGATCGAGTCGACGAGTCGGTTCGGCGATCGAAGTGCATCGGATCGGCGGGCATCGGCTGTCGAGTCGGGGGAGAAGCTGAATCGGCAGAAAGCGGCAGGCCAGCCAGGAAACCTCCATTGGGAAGTCGCATCCCGCATCGGAATCCGAAGTCGAATCAAATCGGAATCGGGAGCTATCGAAATCGAGTCGAACTCGAATCTGCCGCGCGACCGCGCCGCCACCCCCCCTGAGGCCCTGCAGCGATACGAAGAAGAGGCAGAGCTCCTTCGCCCCCGCCCCGCCACGACCCCCCCCCCGGAAGCAGCGGGGCCAGCCTGGTGCCCGAGCCAAGCTGAGAGCGGCGAGCGTTTCTCCCCCTTCCCCGCTTCTCCCACATCGAGCACGGCAGGCTTGTGACATGACAACTTCGGCGTGGGTCTCTCTGACGCCGCGTGAGTCCTTCAACCTCGAGCGATTGGCGGCTTCCCGATGCCATGCCGGCTGATTCTGGGCCACCAACGGCGTTCAGCCTTGAACGCCCGCGCTGGGGTCTCAACGCTTCGATGCGACGCGGACCTGCCGCATCTGTCCTGCTCCCCCTCATCCGCCCTCCCTCCTTACAGCTGGACCCACGACAAGAGAACATCCTTCAAGCAGATGGGGCCCTCCGCCGGCCAAACGCCCCAAACCACACGATAACTCGAGGGTGCCCTCCCCCAGGGTGCACAAGCACGTCCAACAAGCACGAAGCACATCAGGGTACCTTCCGCCAGCCAGCCTCGATGTTTTACCTTGGCCCATCCTGACCTGTGAGCTCCCCCGCACGAGAACTCCACGCCGCGCTCGGAGGAGGATCTGAGGGGGGGAGGAGGACAGAGGAGGACGAGGAGGAGGAGGAGGAGGAGGAGGAGAAGGATTTGAGGGGGGGAGCAGGACAGAGGAGGACGAGAAGGAGGAGGAGGAGGAGGAGGAAGAGGAGGAGGAGAAGGAGGAGGAGGAGGAGGAGGAGGGAGATGGATGAGGACGTGAGGAGGGAGGAGGAGGAGGAGGAGGAGAGGAGGAGGAGGAGGAGAGGAGAGAGAGAGGAGGAAGAGGACGGAGGAGGAGGAGGATCAGGGAGGAGGAGATGGAGGAGGAGAGGACGAGGGAGGAGGAGGATCCTCCGCACGAGAACTTCCCGCCGCGCGCGATGCCGGAGGCGCGGTCACGCCGCGCCGCCGCTCAGCGGGTGGCCCATGGGGCCCCAGGATGGCCAGCACGGAGGCCCCCCCCCGGCGGAGGGAGCAGGGGAAGGACAGCCCCGGCCCTGGATCCTCAGCATCACGTCCTCCCCCCCCATCCTCACCCCCATCCTCCCCCCCCCCATCCTCCCCCTCCTGCCCGCCCCCTCCTCCTCTCCTCCTCCTCCTTCCCTCCCCCGCCCCCTCCTCCTCCTCCTCCTCCTCCTCCTCCCTCCTTCCTCCTCCTCCTCCTCCTCCTATGTCCTCCTCCTCCCCTCCTCCTCCTCCTCCTCCTCCTCCTCCTCCTCCTCCTCCTGCTCCTCCCCCCTCGTCCCCCCCCTTCGTTCCCCCTCCTCCTCGAGAATGCCTCCGATTCTGGCGGGCTGAGTTTAGGTCGCTCCACAACATTATCCCCCGTCGGCTACACGCAGGAGTGATCTTGGGCAAGGGCGACAACAAGTGTGCGGCTTCAGAGACACTGGAGAGGACAAATCCGAGCTTGCAGGCCAGTGTTGGGGGGAGCCCTTAGGGCCCGCACCAAAGGTCACTCTGGCGAAAGGCCGCTCTTACGCATAACCGACTGCCCCCCTGGGGGGCACACCGATCGGGGGGGGACTGGCATCGGGGGGGCACATAGATCTGGAATCGGCGATACATCGCCGATAATCTGGTGATGGGCCACCCGCCGCAAATCCGCGCTTTCCTTAGCGGGATGGGCTATTGGGACCCTATCGGCGATGAATGGGTGATTGGGGATCGATGCATCCCCCCCTGAGTCTATCCCCCCTTAAACGTTGCATCTGACCCCCCTCCTCGCCCTCCTCCTGGGGAACCGAAGGTACCGATACCCCTACTCCCCAGGCCTCTTCCGGGGTGCGTTCTGACCAGGATGTCGAGGCCCATCCAGCGAAGGCGACGAGGGCCTCCAAGGAGGCCCGAAAAGGCGAAACCGAGGAAAGGGTTGCGATATGAATCCCTTTTCCCCCTCTGACCTCCCCCCCTAGTCTTCCTTCGAGCATTGAGCTGCGCACCTTTGGTTCTCCGAGCGGATGCGGTCCTCGACCCCCCCGCCTGTACAGCTGGCGGGAGGGGAAACAACCAACAGGCATCGAGAGGGGTGAGGAAAATATAAAGATGACGAACACGATGAATATGCGAAACACCTGCCTCCTTCTCCTCCTCATCCTCCTCCCCCTCTCGGCTACACGCAAGAGTGACCCTAGACAAGAGTGGCCGTTGGCGCGCAGCTTAACGGGGGACGCGTGGTGGCCAAACCTGGGCGCGCAAGCCGCTGCTACCGCTTCGCGCTCAGCGATCGGGGGACCCCATTGTCGGCGGTGAGCCCGAGGGGGAAGTGAAAAAGGGCGGGCCTTCTCAGAAGGCTCGGAAATCCCCCGGCCTTCTGAGATTGTTTCAAAGCTTTCCCCGAAGCCACAGAAAACTTCTCAGAAGGCGCGAGGGCTTCTGAGAAGTCCCGCCGCCTTGTGAGAAAGCCTTCTCCTTCTCACTTCCCCCCCTCGCTCGCCGCCGACACTGGGCCCGCACCAATGTAGAGGACCCTCTCGGCCCCTCCTCAACGTCGTGTTTTTTTCACAACGTCGACGCCCAGAAGTCTGGACCCCTTCTCCGGGACCCGTTTTTCATCCTGAGTCGTTCTTTGACGGTCCCGAGGACCAGTGAGGACCCTCGGAGGCCGAAAACAGCGCAAAACCTCCCGTCGCGATTTTTTCGCAACGCCAGGGAGTCTGGGTCGCCGACTCCGAAGGGTGCGGTTTGCAAAGGGTGTGGTTTGCAACTGGCACCCTGGGGGGCACCCTGGGGGGGCGGGCGGGGACCTCTATAGAGCTCCCCGCCGCGCCCCGAGGAGGCCCGACGAGGACAGCGTCGTACCCCCAGGCCCCAACGGTGCCGATCGTAGGGGGCCACATGCGAACCCTACCCCTACCCCCACGATTTCTGAGGGGGAGGGTGGGGCTCACTTCGCTCGGGAGCTCCCGAACGAAGTGAACCCCTTCCTCCGCCTCGGAAATCGTGGGGGGTAGGGGTAGGGTTCGCGTGTGGTCGCCTGGATCGCAAACCACACCCCGCCGCAACCATACCCTTTGTAGTCGCCGACTGGGGCCGACCCTCCCCAGCCCCGCGCTGCTCCCCGGGCCCCCGGCGCCAGGGACTCCAACTCCTCGGTGTCGCGCCGCAGGCGCTCGACCAGGTGGGCCTCCGGCGGACCGGCCGCGCAAGGGGCCGGGGGGGGGGGGGATGGGCCTGTTTTCCACCTCCACCACAAGTTGGAGGGGGAGGGGCTCCTCCTCCTCCTCCTCCTCCTCCTCCTCCTCCTCCTCCTCTTCTCTCCTCCTCCCTCCTCCTCCTCCTCCTCCTCCTCCTCCTCCTCCTCCTCCTCCTCCTCCTCCTCCTCCTCCTCCTCCTCCTCCTCCTCCTCCTCCTCCTCCTCCTCCTCGTCCTCCTCCTCCTCGTCCTCCTCCTCCTCGTCCTCCTCCGCCTTCCCCCATCCAACTTATGGTAATGGTGGTTTTGGAAAACAGGCCCATCAGGGGGAGCGCCGCGGGAGGGGGTGCGCACAAGGGCGCCGCCAGAACTTCCACCGCAGGGGGGGGGCGCACAAGTGCGCCGCCAGAGTGCGTCGCGGTCCGAGGACTCGGGGAGCGGCAGATCTGGAAATCTGCCTACCCGCGCGGGCGGGCAGAGATCCACATCCACCGCTCCTCGAGATCTCGGAGCACAACCCCGAAGCGGCGGATGCAGATTGTGGTGGTGGAACAAGCGCTACCATCGAGTGCGCCGCTCCCCCCGAGGCGATGCTTGCGAAGTTGGAGCACGCATCACAGACCTCCTCGCGTTGTGACAACAAAAACTCGACGGGGAGTTTTGTCGCTGAATTCGGCCTCCAGGAGCCCTGACTGTGCCTCGGGACCGTCAAAAAGCGACGAAGGGGTCCATACCTTTCGGGGTCGAAGTTGTGAACAAAAATCACGACGTCTGCGGTCTGGCACACGGCCGGACCTAGGACAGCAGAGCATCCTTCCAGAACATGCGACCCTCCTCCGGCTGACAAAAACATGATGGACCCACGAACCCGGAAAGGGATATAGACATGTGGAGCATGGACACGTTTTCATGATACCCAACTGGGCAACACCTCACGAAACATCCCACGAGACACCTCACGAAACAGCCCACGAGACACCTCACGAAACATTCCACGAGACACCTCACGAAACATTTCACGAGACACCCCGCGAAACATTCCACGAGACACCCCACGAAACATTCCACGACGACAGGCAACCACTCAACCAAGGCGGTGTGGTCGTGCTGGGGAGTGGTCGTGCTGGGGTGTGGTCGTGCTGGGGGGTGGTCGTGCTGGGGGGTGGTCGTGCTGGGGGGGTGGTCGTGCTGGGGGGTGGTCGTGCTGGGGCGTGTGTCGTGCTGGGGCGTGGTCGTGCTGGGGCGTGGTCGTGCTGGGGCGTGGTCGTGCTGGGGTGTGGTCGTGCTGTGGTAAGGTCGTGCTGGGGTGCGGTCGTGCTGGGGTGTGGTCTTGCTGGGGTGGGGTCGTGCTGGGGTGTGATCGTGCTGGGGTGGGGTCGGGCTGGGGGTGTGGTCGTGTGGGGTGTGTCGTGCTAGGGTGGGGTGTGCTGGGTGGGGTCGGCTGGGGAGTGGTCGTGCTGGGGTGTGGTCGTGCTGGGGTGTGGTCTGCTGGGGCGTGGTCGTGCTGGGGTGGGGTCGTGCTGGGGTGGGGTCGTGCTGGGGTGGGTTCGTGCTGGGGTGCTCCGCACCCTGTGATTTATCGATCGGGTCGTGCTGGGGTGTGGTCGTGCTGGGGTGTGGTCGTGCTGGGGTGTGGTCGTGCTGGGGTGTGGTCGTGCTGGGGTGTGGTCGTGCTGGGGTGTGGTCGTGCTGGGGGGTGGTCGTGCTGGGGGGTGGTCGTGCTGGGGGGGTGGTCGTGCTGGGGGTGGTCGTGCTGGGGCGTGGTCGTGCTGGGGCGTGGTCGTGCTGGGGCGTGGTCGTGCTGGGGGCGTGGTCGTGCTGGGAGGTCGTGCTGGGGTGTGGTCGTGCTGGGGTGTGGTCTTGCTGGGGTAGGGTCGTGCTGGGGTCGGGTCGTGCTGGGGTGTGGTCGTGCTGGGGTATGGTCGTGCTGGGGTGGGGTCGTGCTGGGGTGGGGTCGTGCTGGGGTCTGGTCGTGCTGGGGTGTGGTCGTGCTGGGGTATGGTCGTGCTAGGGTGGGGTCGTGCATTTCGCTCGAGACATCCTGCCAAAATTCCAGGAAATCGTACAAAAACAAAGGAATTAGTCGAAACATCATCGAAATTCCTTCGCGCGGGGCGCTTTTCCGCGTCGCGGTCGGCTCTGCAAAACAAGCGTTTCGCTCGAGACATCCTCGGCAAACTCTGCGGAGCAAGCGTTTCGCTCGAGACATCCTCAACACACGAAAAAGTGGCCCGCACCCTGTGATTTATCGATCGGGATTTCAAAAACAAGCGTTTCGCTCGAGACATCCTCAAATTTTAATTCGCCGGCCTCCTTCGACCTCGTTATTTATCAGGGAAAAAATTCGCCGGCCTCCCTCAAGTTGGCACCGGGGGACAGGTTTACCTACTAAAAGAGAACCCTGGGCCCACGCCCTTTCCGGGAAAAAAAACACCTGGATGCACAAGAGCATCCACATCAGCACGAAGAACATGAGGGTACCCCCCCTGAACCGACCCCGATCTTGTACCTCGGTTCGACCGTAGCAGATCAGACACGCCACAACGATGATCTCGTTGAATCGGCTGGGTTTGCGCTTCCAACTCACAACGGAGTCTGCGTCGACCATTCACGCCTCATCGCCGCAGGTTGCGATTCTGGCGTGCTTTAGGAGGGTGCGGGGGGGGGAGGGAGAGGGAGATGGAAGGGACGCATACCCCCTGAGCTCATGAGAAATCACGGCAGGAGGTTTTTCATCCTGTTCGGCCTCTGGGGGCCCTCGCCAGGTCTAGGGCCTGCAGAAGAACGACTCAGGACGAGAGGTTGGTCACGGGGAATGGGCCGAGACCTGTGGGGGTCGACGCCGTGAGCAAAAGCCTGGCGTCGGGTCTGGAGAGGGAGGTGGGAGGGGTGCTCACGGTCACATGCGCTGACTGGCTCGGGGCAAGCAGGCGTCGTGACCCTGATCTTCTCCTTCCGGCTTCTCGGGCCGGCAGGGGCGGCAGCGCATATGGCGACGGGGGGCCCGAGGCGCCATCGGGGAGGTCCGGGGGAGCCCCCGCTCGGGAGCTCCGGGGGCGAGCAGCTTGCCATCGCTCGGACGTCCGTTCCCTGTGTGCCTGTCGGTCTCGTGCGTGCTTTTTTGGGGTGCAGAAAATCCACCCCGATAACAACCGCCCCGACACGCGGAGCCGTTCAGGCAACGCGCTCAGAGAAGGAATCAGACGGGGCCGGGCTGTTTGGTAAGCGCCCAGGGCCGTTTAGTAAACGACAATTGTCCGGTCCGGGTGGTTTTTCCTCCCTCCCACTTACATCCTCCCCCTTTTTCCACCTGGCCGGGGGCCCCCGACCAGGAGGACGAGGAGGAGGACGAGGAGGAGGACGAGGAGGAGGATGAGGAGGAGGAGGACGAAGAGGACGAGGAGGAGGACGACGACCAGGTGATCCAGGGTGCTCCTGGGTGGTTCCTCGCCGAGGAGAGAAGAGCATGCGCGCGGTCGCGAGCGATGCCGAGGCAGGGGCGCGGAGGGGCGCAGAGAGGGCGGGGGAGCGCGGAGGGGAGGGGTGGCGCGGGGCAGGCGGAGTACGGCTGCGCCGGAGGAGGCACGGCAAGGAGAGGGCACGGATGGGGGAGGGGGTCCTCCTCCTCCTCCTCCTCCTCCTCCTGACTCTTCTGGCGGACCGCGTTGGGGTCTGCGCCAGAGGCGGGAGAGGGGGGGGGGGTGCAGAAGGGGGAGGGAGACGCAAGCCAAATGCGCTCCGCGGCCAGGGAAGGCAACGAACTAGCGGAGCCACCAGGGCTAAAATGGGCGGCTGCCCTACCCGCGTTGTGGTTTACAGCTTAAGGGGAACCCCGTCCGCGGGTGACACCCGGCCTTGAGATTTCTCAGGGCCGTCGTACGAGCACGACTAATCTCCCAGGTGATGGACCCGTCACAGAATGGCCATCAACACTGGGGATTGCCGCGAGGCGAACGAGCCGCAGCAGTTCAGACAATATACAAAAGGCCTTTCTTTTACCGTACCCGGCGACACGCGATGCAGGATACTTCCCTTGCAAGCTGATAGCGTGTCGCTCTGTTCGGGGGGGGGGCGAGAGGCTGGGAAGAACGCGAGGCTTTGGCGCCCGGGGACCCAGAAATGGATAGCGTCTCGCGCTAAAGCGCGGTGGGCCAGAACCGGCGAAGCGACACGCTATCCCAAAGTCCCCGACCGTAGGCGCGCTCGTGCCACATCCGACATCCTACTCCTCCCGCCCATCCTTTCCCAGTGCGCTGATGTTGTCTACTTCAGCCGATGCTTGTCATGACGGACCTGGACCTACATGAAGGGCCCCTTATCGTGCAATGCGCGAGAAGGAGGAGGAGGATGATGATGAGGAGGAGGAGGAGGAGGTGAAGGTGGCGGATGAGCAAGAGGACAACATTAATTATCCTGGCAAAGGGCCCATCTATTGCAATTGTGAACGCCGTGTTGTGGTTGCTGCTTTCGTTGGAGCTCTTTATGGGGCCACGAAGCGCGCGGGGAGCGCATGCGAACTGTGCCATTGCGGCCTTAGGTGGAGCTCCATACGGGGCTACGAAACATGTGAGGGGTGCACCGAAACGGGCCCAAGGTCCGCATGCGAACGTTCGCCAATGGAGCCTTCGGTGCTCGCGGCCACGGCTACTGGAGCCTTCAGTGGAGCTCCCTATGGGGCCACGAAGCGCTGCGCTGGGTGGGGGAGACGCATGCGGCCGCGGCCATTGGAGCCTTCAGTGGGGGACACATGTGGACCCTCCCACTGGAGCCATCGGTGGATCTCCCCATTGGGCCGCGACGCGTGTGCTCGGTGTGCCGAGCAAGGGGGCGAGGAGACGCACGCGGACGCTCCCACTGGGGCCTCTGGTTGAGCTCCCATAGGAGGCCACGGAACGTGTGAGGGATGTGCCGAAGTGGGGCAGGGAGACGTGGGCCCTCTTACCGGGGCCTTCGGTGGAGGGCCACGAAGCGTGTAGGGGATGCCTGGAAATG